CCCTCTCCCCAGGCCCAGGCTGGCGGCTCCCGGGAGCTTGCCCAGGACCGCAAGAAGTGGGCACCTTCCTGGGCTAGTGCAGACATAATGGACCTTGTCCACGATCTCTGCACTAGGCACAGGAAAGTGGCCGTCTAGGGCAGGAGAGCTGCCAGCCTGGCCACCCAGGACCAGGTGTGCATGAAAATCAAGGGGGTCCACTGAGACCCCCGACCCTGAGCCCTGAGCTTACAATGGCCGTACTGGGTCAGACCAAAGGTCCATCTAGCCCAGTAGCCTGTCTGCCAACAGCGGCCAACCCTAGGGACCCTGGAGGGGATGGACCGAAGACAGTGATCAAGCCATTTGTCTCGTGCCATCCCTCTCCAGCCTTCCACAAACTTTGGGCAGGGACACCACTCCTACCCTCTGGCTAATAGGACTCCATGGACCCAACCTCCATGACTTGATCTCACTTCCCTTTAAACTCTGTTCTAGTTGTAGCCTTCACAGCCTCCTGCAGCAAGGAGTTCCACAGGTTAACTATTTGCTTTGTCAAGAACAACTTTCTCTTACTAGTTTCAAGCCTGCTACCCATTCCTTTCCTTTGGTGTCCTCTAGTCCTTCTTTATGGGAACTCATGAAGAACTTTTCTGAATGCACCCTCTCCACCCAACCCCTGCTTTTAGAGACCTCTATCCTGTCCCCCCTCCGTCTCCTCTTTTCTAAGCTGAACAGTCCCAGTCTCTGTAGCCTCTCTTCATCTGGGACCTGTTCCCAACCCCTGATCATGTTAGTTGCCCTCCCCTCTCCCAGCCTTTCTCTTCCCCTCTCCCACCTCCTTTTCCCAGTCTCCCCCAGTTTTTTTCAATAAAGACAGAGTCAATGTTGGAAGAAACGTTATCTTTATTTTGTACATCAATAAGAAGGGGGGCTAGGGAAGGGTAAGTGGAAGGAGGTGAGGGAGGAATGGGGTACGAGCCCCCGATGGGGAGGACTGGGCTGGCTCTGCGGGCTTCTGGGGGTGGAAGCTCTCCTGCAGCCCCCCAATTACTCCCTCTCCCCAGATGGCAGCCTGCGGCAAGTGCAGCCGGGCTGATGGCCGAGTGGTGTGATGTGCCCAGTGTGGGCACTCAGGGCACTCCAAGCCAGAACTTCTTTGCAAGCGGGGCACCCCTTAGAACTGTGTGTCCGGGGTGGGGGTCGGGACCCTTTAAGCGCAGCCCTCGGCTAGCCTGAGACAGTATCTCCATGCTCTAAGTCCTCCTTTTATGCCCTGCCGGCACTGCTTCCGGCCATCCTTAAGCCCTGTTCAGAGTCCACTCAATGTGGACTTACTAGTTCGAACTAGCAAAACGCTAGTTCGAACTAGTTTTTAGTTCTAGATGCGTTAGTTCGAACTAGCTTAGTTCGAATTAACTAATTCGAACTAAGTTAGTTCGAACTAGCGCTGTAGTGTAGACGTACCCTGAGGGAACTTCTGTCCAGTCAGCTTCCTTAGATAACACTGTTCACTTCTTGGGAGAGCAAATCCCTGCATACAGTTTTGTGTTCTCTCTGCCACCTCCCTTTCTATTTTTTTCCAACCAGCTAACCCACCACCAACAAAACTACAAGAATTTTTCCTTCCACTGACATGAATCATTTAGCCCTAGTGTTCAGAAAGCTACATTTTAGCTAGGGAAAGTTATATGCAAAAGAAAGGCCAAATTCTAAAGCCCATTGAAATTAATGAATTTTTTTCCTTGACTACAAGCTGAATTTGCTTTGGGATTTGGTCTAATTGTCACAGTGTTGTATTTGTTTTGTAAATTCATCTATTAAGGCAAAGACATAAAGAGCACAATTCTATTTTTCATTACACCATTCTCCACTGTTTATTGTTAGATAACTTAAGTATTGTCTTGCTAGCATTACATCTAAAACAAGTGCTCTGTTTTCTGTTTCATGAGCAATTTGATTGTTGAGTAGCAGAGTACTAACAATGCTTGGCAACCATGTTTGGTCACCTCCTTTCAAAACTCAAAGGCAATTTCATAATATCTCTTATCGTATGGACACAAATTGTTGCTTACATTTAATATGATTTAGAGTCAGTGCTTTTCAGTTGCTTTTCAGGTGCCACTCCCCTTTGAAATTTGATACTATGTCAGCACTGCCACATTTAAAAGTCGCAGAGAGGTGTTATTCTGTAACTTTAAAAAAGTGAGTGGCCCTGTAGCACCTTAAAGGCTAACAAAAATATATATAGTGTACATATGAGAATTGTTCAAATGGCCCCATTTGATCCACCTATAACTAATATATAGGTCTTAAGACCTGTACTAACTAAAGCCTAGACTCCACTATGTGCCCCTAGGTTTTATATGTATTTTCATCTGTGACTGCTTTGCTTAATCACGATAAATCACCAGGCACTGAATATGGAAAAGAGAAGGGGAATATGCAACCTATTATCTACATTTCCTCACTTCACAGTTAATCCATGTGAATAAACAATGACTCATTAATTGCTTTGCTCGTTAAATTGCAAAAGACCCATGGGGAGAGGGGAGGTCTCACACCAGGAACCTGTTGTGACTGGCCTGCACAGTTAAATATCAAGCCATCTGCACCACTGTAGAATATACCCCCTGCCAATGAATCCATGTCCTCTGTGTCCTTGCAGCTGGCCTTCCTGCTGTGCTGAAACAGCACTGTGTGATAGTCACTGCCTATAAAATGAAGAAGGGCTGCAGTCTGCAGAAGGAAGCTACTTCTGGATGGGTTCTGCCAGTACAAAGCTGACTCCCCACATCCCTTCAGAGAACCAGAAGAAATAAGGGAGGACGAGCAATTAAAGAAAAGTTTAATTAATTGTAATGCATGTATTGAAAGTGCCCATCACACTGATCCCTGGAGATATAGGCACAAAAATGTCTTACAACACTATAAAATGAGCTCACCAATAGCAAGCTGAATGCGATAGAGTCACTAACAGAGTTCTAAACATAAACCACCTCCTCCCCCAGCAGTTACATTACACAGCTAAAAGCCTGAACAAACAACCAGGCGGTCCATATGTCCTCAAGGTCACCAGACTCAGGCTCAGTCAGACCAGGGGAGGAAGAGAATTTGGGAGATAAGAGGTCTCCGCTGAACATGCCTACCCTGAGACATTCTACTTCAAGGTCTGTATCGGGTTATCTCAGTTTTGTGCAGGTGCTCAGGAAGACAGGCTGTCAACTGTGAAATAATCTCTCTTATGAGAACAACTCTCACCAACATACTTAATGGCCTATACGGTTCACACCACACTAAGCCCCATTTCTAATGGCTGAGTGATATGACAATGAGTGTTTAGTCTGTGTAGGAGGTAACTAGGTTGGAAACCCAGAAAATCTTCATGCAAAACTGTGCATGGTATAAGGTTTGAAGAAGGCAAGCTAGCTTCCTTCCTTATTTTTAACTGGCACATTTACAAGGAGTGGCTCAGCTCCTTAAAGTGGGGCTAAGAATAGGGCTCTTGGGTCTATGGGAGCTGCAGGAGTCAGGGTTGGGGGTGAGGAGGGCTCTGGATGTGTACATACATAGGGAGTGGGCAGAGAGGGAAGAGGGGGCCAAAGCCTGCCCCAAGAATCATATAAGGGCTGCTTGCTCTACCCCTTATTGTCCCTCTCAGGCTAGGTCTACACTACAGCTTTTTTTTTTTTTTTTTTTTTTTTTTTTTCAGAAAAAGCTGTGCAAAATGTGCTTCACATTTTTTTTCTGATTTTTTTTTGGAAGAGCCTTTTCCAAAATTTGGCCTGTCTACACTGGGCCAAATTTCAGAAAATCTTCCTCTTTTGGAAGATCCCTTCTTTCTCGTGCAAAAAAAGCAGAAGGGCAAACACATTTCCTGGATGCGGTGGAGTTTTTCTGGGTATCCCAGAAAACCCCCGCAGTGTAGACATACCCTCAGGGACCAAGAGCAAAGTGCACAGCTCATCTGTTCCTTGAGCTCCCCATCCAGAGTGAGGAATGCAGCAAACTGTATTTTCCCCTCCCTCCCTGACAAAGGGAAACAGGCAACAATGTCCCTGTATGAATCCTGGCACAACCAAACCCTGATCTTGCTTTAAGTTAGGATAAGAGGAAGCCGCCTATCAAATTTGGTGATCCTAGCTCTTACTGTTTTTGAACAAACAGACTCACAGGTGGACAGATGGACTGATAGGGTATGTCTACACTACCACCCTAGTTCGAAGTAGGGTGGTAATGTAGGCAACCAGAGTTGCAAATGAAGCCTGGGATTTGAATTTCCCGGGCTTCATTTGCATCTTTCTGGGCGCCGCCATTTTTAAATGTCCGCTAGTGCGGACTCCATGCCGCGCAGCTACACGCGGCACGGACTAGGTAGTTCGGACTAGGCTTCCTATTCCAAACTACCGTTACTCCTCGTTTCACGTTACTCCTCGTTTCACGTTCTTTTCACGTTTCACGAGAAGTAACAGTAGTTCGGAATAGGAAGCCTAGTCCGAACTACCTAGTCCGTGCCGCGTGTAGCTGCACGGCATGGAGTCCGCACTAGCGGACATTTAAAAATGGCATCTCCCTTAGTTCGAACTAACTGCCCGTGGCTACACGCGGCACTTTAAAGTTAATCCAAACTAAGTCCTTAGTTCAGGTTAGTTCAGATTAGCTGTTACTCCTCATGAGCTGGTGTAGATGTACCCCTAGAGAGTTTGTGCATCTGCCTGCCTGCCTGTTTATGGGTATGTCTCCACTACCACCCTAGTTCGAACTAGGGTGGTAGTGGAGACATACCCATAAACAGGCAGGCAGGCAGATGCACAAACTCTCTAGGGGTACATCTACACCAGCTCATGAGGAGTAACAGCTAATCTGAACTAACCTGAACTAAGGACTTAGTTTGGATTAACTTTAAAGTGCCGCGTGTAGCCACGGGCAGTTAGTTCGAACTAAGGGAGATTTAAAAATGGCGGCCGGACGGGAACATGCAAATGAATCCCGGATATTTAAATCCTGGGCTTCATTTGCAACTCTGGTTGCCTGATTTGCCTACCTAGCTTGAATTAATGAGCTAGTGTAGACAAACCCTAGAATATATTGATAGATTTATGCACATCTAGGCACTTCCATGTTATGTTCACTGACACACAAGATTAAAAGGCTGTTTTGTGGTCTGGATGGACTACAGTCAGGAAGCATTAGAAACCTAGGGAAAAGCTGTAAGATTTCACCCTCCTTCCAAAGTGGCTCAGTTAGCCTGGGGATGCTTTCAGATTTCTGGGTGTTTATCCAAACAATCTCAAGCATTTTGAAGGTCCTCTCTCATTCAGTCAGTCAGCCAGTCTTTCAGTCAGTGCTTACATTTGCCCTACAATCTCTGTTAGTAAAAGGGCATGATCCTGAAGCTCTAGTCATTCAGAATTCAGTGTAAAAATCAATAGTGGGAGGGGGGGGGGGGGTTAAGACACTTGGACTATGACTTTTTTACAGAGCTTACCATGGTTCAGCTGCACCAATGTAGATGCACCATGCTAAATTCTCTAGTGTAGCTGCTCTAAGCAGACATGAGAGAGCTCTCTCATTGACTTAATTAATCCATTCTCAGTGAGCTTTGTGGGTGGAAAAAGCCACAGAGCAGTAACAGCTGTAGGACAGTACAGCTAGTCCGGAGGAGCTGCTTGCAGCATATTCTGTTCCTCCAGTGCCTCTCCAGTACACCCTACCAGCTATAAATATCGTATTGGTAAAGCGTTCCTGTCTGTACCGCCCTACTTGCATCATTGGGCTGACAACATTAGTGAGGCAGGTGTAACTTATGTTGCTCAGCAGGGTGGCTTACTCGGACCCGAACAACATAAATTATAAGGACGTAAGGGGTAATGTGATAGCCTTGGTGACATTTTTATGCTGTGCTGTATTTCCTAGGCACCAATGACATTGGTTAAAGTTGAAGATACAAACTTAACTGAATGTCCTGATTTCTGGGTTTAAGCCAAACAACATCACTGAAACATAAGGGGAAGCAAGCGAGAGGCTTTCATGTGAATAATTTAAAGGTGAAAGAGATAACTAAGCTGGGTTCAGTATGGATATTTGAATTTTTTAAAGCCACATAGCTTTCCATATTTGCTGGAACTTGTCAGGTTAGAGAAGTCTTTATTTTCATTATCATGTTAATTATTTAATATTGCTGCTCTAGCAAGTTGGGCATTCAGTTTATAACTCACTGGCAAAGGGCTGTGAATGAATTCTGAGTTTCAGCGACTCAGCAGCACTGACGAAAAGACTTCAGGGTCAAAGCAATCAACTACTGTAGTCATAAAGACATTACACTAAAATAGCACTGCAGTATCTAAATGAGGTACAAGAAAAATTCAACTGTTCATTGGAGAGTGCAGAAGTAATGACAATGTATTTTTGATGGACACTAGAATGCAATTTTCTGATGATGTCAGGACTACTCTGTTCTCTGTTACTTCGTGGTGATGTCAAACTCAGAGATAATCAAGAATAATATGAACTAGAGTCCTAATTATAATTTTTGATAGGTGATGCTCAGAAGGCTGGGAGTTCATTCCAGATAAGTGCCCAGCAAACATTTGGATGTTTATCCAAATCTTACTCACTTATTTGAACACCCTGAACACTGCAAATCTGAGTTTAGAAATTACTGATAAAACATGAGTTTCTCATGAAATATCTGATGTACTTTGCTCTGTTTATGTTTGAAACATAGCAAAGGAAATGGGTCTTTTCAAAGTAGGGATGTCAACGTGCAGTTGACTATACAATTAACCAAAAAGCCTAGGCTTATCGGTTAATCTTGTCGACAACACACAATCTCCCCCCTTGCTGCCTCTGTATCAGAGGCAGTAAGGTGGGAGAGGAGTGGAAGCCAGTGCCTGTGAGGAGTAAGCTTAAAAGCTAGCTCCCCATGAGCACCAGATCTGCCTGGCACCCATCCCTTCACCCCCGTGCTGCTGCCTCTGACAGAGAGGCAGCAGCATGGAAGGAGAGGGGAGGTAGGCTGAAGCAAATACATGCAGGGAGCTGGCTTTCAAGCCAGCTCTCCATGTGTATCAGCTCCATGGACCTTTTTGCCCCACCTTGCTGCCTCCTATTGAGGCAAGAGCCAGTGCTGGGGGGGAGCTGGCTTAAAAGCTGATTCCCTCCAGCACTGGTTCTACAGTGCTGCCTGCCTCCCCGCTTCCCCCCCCCCACACACACACACACTGCTGCCTCTATCACAAACAGTGGTACTGGGGGAGGGCAGGGAAAGCTGCCTTTCTGCATGGGGTCTGTGCTCCCCCCACACAGAGCCCATAGGGCAGGCTCTGCTTTGGGGCAACAGCCCCTGTCGACAGAGAGTCCAAGCTTTTGTGGGTAAAACCTACTTCATCAGATGAATTGGAGAGGAAGTTACAGAAGCAGGGGCATATATAAGGAAGACATTGCTTGTGTTAATGAAACTAATCAAAGCTTATGCCCTAATAAATCTATTAGTCTCTAAGGTCGGTGCCACAAGACTCCTCATTGCTTTTGCAGATGCAAACTAACATGGCTACCCCCAAAACTTTCCGGCTATGTAGAGTTCTCCATGGCTGGAGAAGGCTGCAGCTAAAACAACATCCAACCTGGGACAAGTTATTCTGCATAAGTAGTCAAAGCATATTCTAAGGCACGATTCAAGATTAAATGACCATTAATGGTTCCTTAAAAACTGTTAATTACTTATGCTAAACAATTTCTGCCACATTGTGTTTAGCTTCAACAGAAGTTGCCCCAATACAAGATTTTATCTCACCCACCTTATCTTTCTAATGTCTTGGGACCAACTTAGCTTTGCCACTGCAAACAATGAAGTTTCATGAAATTTTATTAAAAAAATGTGTCCACTTTGTAGAAATCATTTCATTTTGAAATATTTCATGACACATGAAGCTTCTGGTTTATGAAATGTCTGTGAAAGAAATGACAAAACTTTGATGCAAAATGTTACGTATTTTCTTTGTTTTCACATAGCTCTAATCCCTATAATAAGTAACAAGAAAGTCCCTATTTAAAAAAAAATCCCCATCATTTCATGTGTTCAGTTCAAAATAAAAACACAAATAGCCATTTGGACTGCACCCAGTGTACATTTTGCTGTTTAATGAAGGAGTGAAATATTATAACTGTTGGCTTGTTCATATTTTCAATTTATACAGGCATGCTGATCAGACACTGCAAACTTGCTTATGCTGACATTAAAAGCCTTAGAGAATTCCAGGTTACCACATGTCTGACGCATTATCATATCATGTGATGCCAAGTGTCAGAAGTCTGACATAAAAAAGGCTTCTGTTGACATACACACTTGTTCTAAAAGCACATGCTCATCATTTGGGTAATCTCAGATACCACAGGGAGGTATGAAGTATAAGAACCTAAACAGAATGCAAATTTCAAATGTTGAACATTCAGTTCGAGTAACCTTAGATTTTTACAGAGGTGGGTGTTGTTGTGTAAGAATTCTATAAAAAGGAGGGTACTTCTTGATTATCAGGAGCCAAATTATGAAATCCTTTCCCAATATATATCCATTCCTTATCCAGACATCAGTGGGAATTTGCCTAAACACAGACTAAGAACTTAGCATGTGGATGCACAAAGCCATAGAGATTTCTGCACATCGCTGTAACAATTAAATAAAATTAAGCCAATGATTCAGGAAGGCATCAGAATCTGTCCACATCAACAGTGTGTAAGGAGCTGAATGCTATGCATTGCTTTTCAGGTTAGGCAATATGGCCAACTTTGTTATTTTGCAGAACTTTGTGTAAATCAATAGTATTATATAGGTTTAAAACAAGTAATGATAGTTAACAATAATGGCTGTTTGCATTGTGTCACATGTTCAGTACAAATTAAAAACATCACACGTGATAACTTTGGAATTGGGCCCCCAATTGCATTTTTACTGTATCTGTTGATTTTAAGTAATAATACTTCACGTCTATATTTGTTAGAGTCCAAGTCCAATGCCCGTTACTGTCAGTGAAACTGGAGCACATCATCAGGCTCCTGCCCCAAGATCCTCCCCAACTATCTGAATGCCTTCAAGCCAATCCCTCTTTGAACCGCATCCAGAGCACATCTGTACATGCTCATGCTTTTTACCATCCTCTGGCTTACCCTTGTGCATGGAGAAAAGTAGTGGGTGCTTAGCTCACACCTCTAGTCAGCTCCCCCTCTCTGCCCCAGTGCCTCTTGTCCAACAGCAGCCCCACAGATCAACACCTCCCCCTCCCTCCCAGTGCCTTTCACCAGCCATGCTCAGATTATATTTTATCTGTCCTAGATGGGTTCCTTGACATTGAAACTGACTGCATTAACAAAGCCATTCCATGCTGATGTCATTGTCCTGGGTGACAAAGCCTCAGGTAATAAAATCCAGTTTGTCAGTCAAAAAGAAGTAGACAATGTTCTGGCCTATAATTGTTACAGAGTTTTAGACTGTGAGAAATTAGTCCATCAGCTGTTCCACAGTGTGTAGAAGGTGCTGAGAGGGAGGGAGAGCAGCAGAGATGTGGTACGCTCAGGGGAGAGGGTAGAACTGGGCAGGAAAAGGCAGGGTGAAGGTAGCTGGGAGGAAGCGGTACGGTGGGGGTGGGGCCTGAGGTAGAGCTGGGGGTTGACCATCCCCAGATCCTAGTGTCTTAGAACACACTAGAACTGGTAGGGACCTCGAGAGGCCATCGAGTCGTGTCTTTGTGTCCCACCCCACCACCAAGTGATGGAACTTACTGTTATCTATGGAAGGCAAGGAGACCCCATAGGCTAGTCTGTACTCCTCCCCGGTTCCACAGTCACAGGGGATATTAGTTGGCAGGTCCTCCATGGAGCCCATGAGTGCGTACCTGGCTTGGTTCACGGAATCCCCTTGTAGCAGAGGGAAACCATGGTGAATGTCTATGTAGAGTGTGTCAGGCTGCAGCCACTCTTTCTAACTCCTTCAGCACTGTACTGAGGAGCTGGATGTACTTTTCCTCCCACGTGTTCATCTTTCCATGCCCCATCTGTGTCCCCACAAAGTTGTGATGAGACCTCCTGGCAAACCTCCTCCTGGCGCTGGCTAAGATGGCTACCCATCACACCAGGAGGAGGAAGCTGTCTGGGGATGCTCTGCAACTATATCCAGTCCCTCCTCAAATCATGTCTCCAGGCAGAGTTCCTTTGGGCAGGGTCCACTGATTCCTTCGCTGCCTTTGAGGAGCAGTGGGTGCTGTTGAGTGTTCTCTACTTGGTGTTCCCTTCTTGTTCCGGGACTGCTTTATCATTTTTTCCCTCAATAATTTATTTTTGGCCTGGACTTAGTGGTTCTTCTCCTTGGCGTGAGGAGGTGGGTGTTTAGTTCTAGGTGACCCTAAGCCCACTAGTCCCAATATCTGCAACCGGTACAGTCAGTGGGATTTTCACTGAATGGGCAGGGTATCCAAAGGCAATGTGAATATGTATGTGTGGGGGGCAGAGTGAGGAGATCCACTGGGAGTGGAAGGGGCAGGACTGGATCCTGTTCATATACTGGCTGCTGAGATGCTACTCTATGGAGCCAGTGCAGTGAACCAGCAGCTTAAGGAGAGAGCCTGGCTGTGACAGTGGCAAGCTGCCTTTCCATCCAGGCCTGCCTTCCATGAGCAGGGGCTGAGCCAGCTAAATCCTCCCCCTGCCCGCTCCCAGCATCCCCATCCCCAGAAGCCACGTCCAGGCAGAGAGAGGGGCAGCTCCCATCTCCGCCCACTTAGATGACTCATGGTAACACTTGGGAGGTGCCAAAACTTTTCAATTGATTCA